TATTTAGCAATTTTAATTTTATATTTAGGTAAACATTTTTTGTTTGTTACAGTTTCTTTTTTTTACCCATTATTACCATAAAATAAATCAATTCTCAAGCTAGTCAGCCTTTTCATTAATTCGCCCAAGCATCGAACCCGTCACAAACGTATCATTATTTCTTTCGGCTGTTTGGGTGGTTTGCTTGAACGTTGGTGAAAATACGCTCTGTAGAAGCGAAAAAGTAACAACTGCTTGAAAAATTCATCAGTCCTGTTAAGTCCTGGGTAGCTCAGATTGCGAAAGATCATGGGATTCTAATCCCATCTGAGAGTGCAAGGGACAAAGTGGATTTTTTAATCATATTTCATTAAGAATATTATTATCATCACTAATTAACACGGGGAGATTGGGCCATTATACGGGCTCAGTGTAGTTGATGGACTAATGATTAGCGATGTTATAAGGACCGTTGGTTTAACTTGCCTTAAGCAAATGTTGTAGAAGTAATGTTTTTTAACTTCTTTGAAAGGGTTTTAGATACCCGATGACGAGCTTTTATTTGGAAGAAAACCATTTGAGTTATTCCGTATTCATCCTATGACGTCTCATCATATTTCTTCACTCATCCCAAACTCTGTATTCCTATGACTATTTTTCTTAATTCATCCTAAACGCGTATTCTTTACTGATTCTGAAGCAAAAATATTACTTAAAAGAATGGAAAGCAACGTTTAATATTTTTACGGAAAATTATTATGTATACCATAATTCTTATCTAATATATATTAGAAATTAAAATTACTGGGGCACAGATCTTCCCGAGTGATGGAAAATAATCAATAAATTAGGATACTGGTGCAGTGCAAATTGATACTCAGGAAAAATCCGGAGATAGGGAGTAGGAGACATGTTCCTAATAAATATAATTTATTTATTAGGAACATGTCTCCTATTTACAATTTGTTTAAAACTCGCTTCTCAATAGATTTTTAGAGCAGATTTGATACTATTGATAGCCTATTTTCTATTTTTTTTATCATTTAGCAAATCAATAATGTATTAGTCTTATTTGAATTAATGGTTCCTCTTTAGTCTGTGATTTTATAAATGATTTCAAACTGTAATTGATTGTTTCTTGTTATTAATTATTAATCGTTTATAATTGCATCAAAATCTTATATACTTTTTATTTGTATATTAAGAAAGTTCTAAACCATTTTATAATCAAAATCTTAGGCGACGAGATGTAGTTATTAGTCATAAGTAGTTAATAGTTCTTTAATCTGTGATTTTTGTAGATGACTTTTAAAATGCAGTTGATTTTGTCTTGTCAGTTATAGAAACGACAAAATCCTTTCCTTTTCCTTAATGACAAGTGAATTCTTAACAATTTTATATAATTTATATTATTTTCCATTAAAACTTACGATTTATTAATACATTATTTTAAAGAAAGTTTTAAATAAAAATTGTGAGTACAAAATTTATCTCTTATTATATCTTTTAGACTTTCTGCTGTTTTATTTTATATAACAACCATAGAGCAACAATTAACTCAGATTTAAAAAAAAATTTGTTCAGACCGTATACAAAAATCTTACATTTTTAAGTGATTTGAAATTGGGATGAGCTAAGAACACTGATGGGATGAGTAAGGAATTCAAAATTAAAATAAATTGATGTGGGTTGTGTGAAGAACAAAAATATGATGTATTAATAATTTTTTTATGAATACGGAACATGAATACGGAACAACCCAACCATTTCAATGCAGAACTATTAAAATTCAAGTCGAATACCTAAAAATTACAAACTGTTAGTCAAAGAGTAGTAAATAAGTATAAGTGTCAAAATCCGTTATACGTAAATACGTAATATATAAAAAATCATGACTACGAAGAAATACTTTAAGTTACAGGTGTAAAAATTCATAATAAAAAGTATGAAAACGCAAGTTAAAATTATATAATGCGATGCCAAATTGACGAAAGCTACTGGTATGAGCTGACATTAATGCAAGTGTGCAAAAATATCGGATGAAAGTTCGTAGAGTTTTAAATAATCTTAACTTACAAAGATTTTAATACTTTACAACCATGGAAATGTAAAGATAGAAATAAAAATATAATAAAACCCAAATAAAAGTAGTATGGCTAATATATAAAAGTCACGATGATAAAGACGCGAGGAGTGATTGCAGGTCAGTTACGACAATGACTTACTCATTTCATTTGCAATTTATGTTTATGAATGCAATAAAAATAAATAAATAAAGAGCAATGTTCTGTTTAATTGAGAGGCAATGGACACGAAGTTATTTATTTTCCGTTAAGCGATAATCTTAATAAATAATATATAACGGCGGGTAGTCCGAAGGGGCTATTACGAAGCCCAAATAGATCGTCCATATCGGAAGACTATCTTTAAAATAACACTGCAGGCGTGTATACCAACGTGGATTTGTTCCATTTTATCATTTTTCACATGAAAATATAACGTGATGAGCGTGATGTCGGCAGATGTCTTTACTCCTCGGCGTTTGGAAACAGAATGTGTGCCAAAATGGCGGCAACTTGGTTTTTATAAACGAACTGTCAAAGTCAGTGTCACCATTCTAATAAAATTAAAAGTATCGATGATTACGCTCTCTTTACAATCGAGTAATTAAGTAATCGAATAACTAGCAATTAAAATAAAAGAAACTAAATCAAACGATCTTCGTAATGATGATGCTACATATACAATACGCTTTATATTTCCTTGTTATTTTTTTTTGGAAAATTTCATAAACACTTAATCCATGTGAGTGAAAGTAAAATAGATGAGTTCTCCACATGGTTTAAGGAAGTCTAGATTTTTTCTTGTTTTGTCTCACCTTAGTGTCTGGTGAAAGTTCCCAAGCGCAAATCTTAAGTAATTATAATCACAGACTATGCAAAAATTGCAATCTATTAGACAAGAACAGTTTTAAATGCATTCTCTCTTCAATATTCTTGATAATTTGGAATATTCTATAACATTCTGATTAATTTAACGTTATTGTTGTAATTATTTAGGTTAAATTAACCAAATTATGCCTTACCTAGGAAATTAATTGAATGTCCGGTAATTATATTAGCTTAATGCAAATTAAGGGGAGACAGATACTAGAAAAAAATACTACATTAATAGTAACAAAACATGTAACAAAATTAGAAAACTAATTAAGTCGATTAAATAATACAAGAACATCTCTCATGTGCAGGTTCAATAAAATTATTCTTTTTTAATTTGACATCTATGCTGTACATTTGTGCTCGGTGTTGACACGTTCGAGACTGATGTTGTTAGAGAATAACACCGCAGATAAAAGTTAGCAGGAAGAGTCAGTAGTTCTATTATGGTGTAATGAAAACCACAATAATTCTACGTATAATAACGTGGTGGGTAGCGAAGATTATTGTCTAATAATATAAAGAAGAGAATTGTCTAATAATTTTCTAAATAGCTTTATAGTTTTGTCTGTTGCATTTACATAATGTGTAATATATATAAACTATTAACCTATGTATATGTATGTTTAAGGACACTCACAGTACGGTCGATTCACCAATTTGAAGTCGCTTAATATGCTCGGAGTTTTTCTAAAAGATAAAATTCGGAACAAGTTATACGACAGTGTCATCAACATAGCACATAGGCTTAGAAGCTGAAGTGGCAGTAGTCTGGCTATATCTACCAAAGGCAGAGTAAGCGAGTTCTAAAATTGAGACCGCGAATCGGCAAGCGTAGGACAACCTTTAGCAAGGTGAAGTCATTATTTAAGGAAGATCACGGGAAGTTGGATGAGAGTAGTCCGAAACGGGAAAATATTGAGCGTATAGGGATTGCCTGTGTCCAGCGGTAGACTGCTGATGATGATGATAATACTATCATTAATTGTAAAAAATAAAAATTAACATTAATTGTAGAAATACATTTCTCTGTCATGTCAACCAACCAATCATGTGAGATTGATTCGGCTCTATTTATTTAAATATTTTTTGAATTTGGGAGAAATATAATAATTTCTTACTATTATAATAAAAAAGTACGTCTTGTAGCCAATTATGACAGCCAAACAAGAACTCAAAATGTCCAAAGTCAGCTAAAACATCAGCTTGTTGAAAATGAATTATACTATATGAAAATTTCTTAGAAATCGCGAATTGTACGAATGAAATGAGCATACCCAAAATTGTTCTACGAAGAGAGAATGTGACATATCATTACCTTTCATAATGAGAGCTAGTGAAATTACTTCTCTCGAATTCTGAAACTCAAAGTATTACATGTCTAAAACTAAAACATATGTATCAGTGAATATGTCTTATTATGAGTATATATCACAAAATAAGTTATATTTTAAGATATTTTTTATGTGATTAAAAACACATGACAAAGATCAGTTTATTTTATTTCACAGTAATATTTCTAACTTAAATTACGATAATTTAAAAATGGTAATATACTACAATCACTTACAATAATTAAAGTAAACAGAAAAATAAATAAATTGAATGAAATTTACATTAAATTATGACTTAGAAAGGGACTAAAGCTATATAACCCGCTATACAAGTTTATCAACCACCAAATTAAATAATTATAACATTTATCTGTTTTCTAAAATGAGAAAACCGCAAGGTGCAGGTTCATACTTCATTTTATTTATCCAATTCACTTGCCAGCATTCGTAAACGTCAAAATAAAATGACGTCATTCACTTCTAAATGATTTACATATTAAGTTTCATTTTCATTTCTAGCCAATTTATATAAAACTACAAATCCAGACCTTTCTCATATATTCCTTCAGCTATTTGTAAAATCTGCACAAGAATCGTTGGGTTTAAATTTTATTCGTCCCAGACAGACAAATGCGGCAAGATGATTGTATACACTAAGTAAAATATATGCTGTCGACATATTCTCAGTGATCTAAATAGTGACAATTGTTGTATCAGAAAAGAACTAAAAACTGTTTACGCATTATTTTTCAGTAGATTTCCACTTCTTTATAGAAGTTGGATTCATAAATCTACAATGATTTTAACTAGCGGTAATTTGGTGGTTATAATTGTAATCTTTTTTTATAAAATCCGTAAGAAATTTGGCAAATTTTCAGTTGATGTAAGCACCGTATTCCTCCATCCCGTTTCCATGGTAGCCATAGTGGACATCGGCCATTACTGCGTCCCTCCCTTTGACGACATTATGATTTTTAAACGCATTTATTATGATCAGTATTAACGCCAGCTTGCCAACCATGAGGGATTTAAAAAGCATGAACTTTAGCATGCTCAAGAACAAGGGTACGATAGCTGACTGAAGTAGGAATGGCATGATAAATAGTGGCAATATTCTCTCCATCAATCCGTTTTTCTTTCCTCTTCCTGAAACAGAATAAAATATATATATATATATATATATATATATATATATATATAAAGTATACTTATTCGAGTTTGTTGATGTAGTGGTTAATGTTTCACTAGGGTCGGTCATAGATGGGTGAATAATAATTTACTCTCTCGAGCTCCTACGTAGTGCATTCGCAATCCTAATGGGTGGGATTAGGCCCGCATGGGTATCTAGAGCCTAGGTCCGAGCCTCTAGTCATCCCGATCCCCAGTCAGATACGAGAGTCCAGGTGATTATATAACGGACTGGAGGCGCCCCCTAGTGGGGTAATACCCTCCGAGTAGAGAAGCTCCTGGATTATCGTTTTCTTGGTTTGAGGTTCTAAGGACCTCGCCATCACTTACTCCGTTTACACTGTTCCCATCCATAAGAATGTCTTTTGCCTCAGCCCCCATGATAATGAAGTTAAAACATACTAAATACTCGTATAACATACGTTTTTCGGGATAAAATATAGCCTACGTATCTACTAAACATACTACTTATAATGATTTTGGATATATAGGTTCAATAGCAACAATTAATATTAGACTTTTTGCATACTTATAAAATAAATGCGTGTTTTAGAAAATATTTTAACAGATGTTTGTTGAAATAACATGACAAATATTAAAACAACAAGTCAAATGTTGAATGATATAAAAAAAAAATTAGAGGAAAGGTTTGATTGATTGCACCGAATAGGCTCCGTAACTTCTACAAAAAATAGACCTTTATTAAATTCTCTTTCACCTACTAGAAGCTGCATCATATGCGGTGACCGTAGGCTATGTTTTATCCCGAAAAACAGCAAATAAAGGGATGAAAATGAGAGCGAAAATTTGTATAGGGAATTAAAACGTTACCATAGTAACCATAATTACTATTCAATTTCATATTGTATTTACTATTAAATTTGTCATTGTAATTATATTCGTTATATACCTGTCACGACTTAATCAAATAAAAAAATATTTAAGCATCCCACTTAACAGTTCCATAGGGATCCCGCGGGTGAAGTCGCTGAAAGCTAGTGGTTTATACATATTTGTATATGGCTATACACAAAATAATTTTGAACTCAGAACAATTAGAACTATCAAAAACACATATTTGAATTAAATCAACAATTAATGTAGGCTTATTTTCCATGGACGAGGTTGGTTGGTCAGTTTAATACGAGACGCCGACATCGATCGGCAATGTAACCGCTCTGATTATTTGTGCTCACGCAATTTCTCCACTTTCACGCCAGCGACAAAATAAAAATAACCTGCTACCCAATAGGAAGTCTTGTATCTTTTATTATTCAATACAACGGTTATTACGTGCATGTCGAATGGTTTGTAATGTTATTATACGGAATTCAATTTTGACCACTAGTTGCATCAATGCACAAAAGATTTCATAATCGCAGAAGATTTAAAATCGCAGAATAGTTTCCATATGAATTTTACGAAATAACAGACTGCATTGACTTTCGTAGGCGAATAACGTTACCATTTCAATATTCAATAGAATCAATGTGAAAAACAACTCGTTTTTATCCTTATATCTTACTTGGGAACGGATATAATTTAAATGACATACTAAGTTGTAAAGAATGGTTACTATGGTAACATGTTAATTCCCTATACAAAAATTTACTTCCATTTTCATCCCTTTATTTACTGTTTTTAGGGATAAAGTATAGCCCTATGTTTACCGCATATGATTTAGCTTACTGTAGATGAAAAATTACTAAAATCGGTCCTTTCATTGCAAACAAAGAATCAACTCTGTCCTCTTTATATTATTAGTATCGACTAGCTGACCCTGACTAGGTTGACATCTATTTTTATGAGATTCAGACCTACTGAACATACATATATAAAAAATCCATCAAAATGGATCAAGCGAAACTACATTAAAACTGAGACACGAGAATTTTACATATTAGATTTTGTGTACCTCATGTAATGCAGATGTCATCCTAGTATATTAACAAATATAATTCCTTTTAAATTAACAAATATAAAACGCAGTCTGATTCGTCTTCTGTATGTACTACGAATATTATGAAGAACAATTATTTGATTGTTTGCATCTAACAGGCTCCATAACTAATAGACTTATTTTGAAAATTCTTTCACTTACGGGAAGCAATATCATATGCGGGTGACATAGACTATAATTTTGCGGGCAAAGTCGCGGAATAACAGCAAGTCATCTTTATCTTTATTTAAAAAACAAATATTTCAAATGTTTTCTGTCAGTAAACTAGTTTGTTTACATTAATATTTTCTTAGATTTTATTAAGACATTAAGTAAAAATAGATTACGTGTAATAGTTTTAATATTTCAAGCATGGTTAAGCGACATGTTTTTTCGTGGAAGTAAAGCGACTCGAAATTGCATTCGTTGTAAAAGTGAACGTTGGGGTTCAGTTAAATTCCTGTTCTTTGATGGTGAAATCAACATCGTCCTCATTAAATATAGTAACTGCCCGCTACTTAGTATTAAACGGCTTCAAGTAATGAGTTTTGAAAAAAAGATTCCCTAATTCTAAGGGAGATAACACCGTGAAGGTATCTTTATTTGTAATTCTAGTTACAATGGAGTAAAAAATTTCATTTACATACTGTAGTGACAAAGAAACTCGTTTTAAATTCTTAAGAATTTATATATTGTGTATATTTTCAAACTAATTCTAATGGATATAACACCATAAGGGTATCTCCATTTGTAATTTAAGTTACAATGGAGTGATATTTTTTATTTCATACTGCAAATGACAATGAAACTTGTTTAAAATTCTTAAGAATATAAATTTTGTTTACATATTCAAACCAATTCTAATGGAAACAACACTATTATGGTATATTCATTTGTAATTCAAGTTACAATTAAGTGATAATTTTTATTTTTTCATTTTCAGCCGAATTTAGTTTATTTTTCAGTTTCTGAAATTTGTTCCCATTTGGTAATTTTTGTCAAACAAACATGGTGGCATTGTTTAATATTATAAGTAACTAGATGTTTTCTTGCTTCTTCGGCCGGGTAATTTAAAGCCTGTGTGACATATGATGTAGCTTCCCATAGCTGAAATAATGTAAACAATCGCTCAAGCAGATTTAGAGTCTATTCGATGCAAACAAACAAACAATTTCTTCTCTTTATAATATAAACAGCAATCTCCACAAGTAGTAGAAGTGTAGAATCAAATTAATGTAGAAAATAAAGCTCTGTATATTATCTTGAGTGTGGTTGTTGAAGACCTTTCTTGTTTCAGATTTCCATAATAAATTTTACAAGTACTTTAGCTACTTGATTTAGTATCTGAGAAATTGAAGTACCTGAAGTTAATCTATTATGGAAATCTGAAGCAACGAAAGTACCACAAAGCCCAGAACAGATACAAAATATAAAGTTATATTTGATATCATCTTATTTAAAAATCTTGGTTCATATCTAAAAAATGACAATAAGTAAAAGTGATAAATAATCCTAGTAATATTACAAATGTGAAAATGTTTCTTTCTTTGGATGTTTATCCGTCAATCACGCCGAAAGTACTGGATTTTGAAGCAATTTGGTATATAGGGTATTAACTGACTTGGATAATAAAATACTTTTTATCCCACTAAATATATCCCTAGAGGTTGACGATAGCTAGTAAAGTGTAAATTAAATACAAAGAGTAATTCAAAATTGCAAAAATGTTCATAGAAACACAGCAACTCATTCGGTTAATGGAATAATCCTATTTTGATAATGATAAAATCAACAGTCAATATATGTTCATTTAAGTAAAAGCGTTGATCTATAATGTTCCGTCATGAAACCATATTTGGTGTTATTCCTAGAAAAAAAAATACATTATAAAGTACTAGGAAATACAGTTCTTGAAAGAAACATCATCACGACTTGATTTTTCTGCGGTATTTAGAATGCAGTAGACCACATTTGCAAGAGTCCAAATAAGTTTCTACCAGAAATGAAGATTGGATACTCCTTACTGGCTACATAGTAATGATTTTTAAATAGTGTAAATTCAAAAATTTACATTCAAATTAGCGAATATTAAAGATAATCAAACTAGTACTTAAGATACAAAACCAATTAAAAGTTATACACCTAAAATAATAACTATTAATTGATTTTGTACAAAGAAATAAATTACAAATGAGAAAATATTTCTAAAAGATTCAGTCACGGCCAAAACTTCAATTTACAAAATTGTATCAACAGAATAAATCACAAAGCTACACATAAATTCATAATTTTTCAATTAAATACTTTTTAGGAAAAATTATATGAGTCATTTAGTAGCCGAGGGAACTATGAAGAACCTTAACAATCATCCTAATAGTGTTTGATTATTAAAAAACAATTTTCTCTGTCCATATAAGTCTCATTCCATAAGTTCAACAGGATAGTCATTAGACTTTATTGCAAATGTTCAAAATATGAGAAACGCATTAAGCAATAACCTTTTAGTTGGCCTATCGTTTATAAGTAATGCTTTGCTATATAGTTGTACGTGTAAACTATAATTTTACTATCATTTCTGTTAATTACCTGTAGGTCTTCCAAAGATATAATAAAAATCAATATAATCAACGACTCACCTTCATCTTTATTCCTGTTAGTATCTACTTCAAAGGACAATATTCTTCTAGTGTCATTTGCAGGTATTGTGACACTGACGCCTTCAAATAAATCGATCTTTTTATCGAGCTCATTTCGGACCGGTACATTCCGAACCGGTACATTCTGCACTGAACCTGCAGTATAACTGATGCAGAGCACTACACAAAGTAAACACAATTGCGGTGCGCTCATTTTGAAGGTTGTATAAACTGTGCGAGAGTATCACTACACCCCTCTACTTCATGGCCGGTGGCTTCAAACTGTACTTGTATTCTATAACACAGTGAATTAAATACAGTATGAAAACAATTGGCATCAAATTCTGGATACTCTTTTGATAAATTTTAAATTGAACAGACTTTTTCTGTAATTATTTGTCAGATAAATGTTCCTTTGAAAGTGACCTCTTTATGTTGTTATAGTCATATTACAGGCATTCATTCAATAAAAAAGCTATAAAAAACAATAAAACAGCTATAAACAGCTAATATAAGAAAAAAGGTTGTGAGGCTTCAATATCAAGGAAAGCATCTTGTATGTATAAATTAATATATCTTGCTTATGTCTTTTACAATACGAAGATACACTTGAGATCAATTTTGCAACCTTAGTGCAATATTTTACTTATATATATAGATAACAGAACATAATATGTTAAGCCAAATTAGGTTCGACAAAAAACTATATCATGCTAGATCATTAAAACACGCGAGAAACGAGAATATCTACTCACTTTATTGTATAACTTGTAATATTCCATCAATAGTTTACGTAATCGCTAAGCGTATTCACTCTATGTGGAACAGTGAAATTGTTACAACTTATTTTTAGAATACGTAATTAGTTATATATCTAAAAATACATAATGAAATGTGAAATGAGAGGAGAAATATTATTACGAAGTTCTAGCTGTATGGTACTGTGTGACATAATTTATAGGATATAATTATGCACACACTAAAATATGCAATAGATTTATCACGATTCTCTGCCGGCCGGTGATGATTCTCACCATCATCATCCCCACTGATAGGGATTTCCCAGTGGCGGGCCCAGTGCGGATTGGTGGGTGTTAAAGACTATTGCTTAACAATCGTATTGAAGATCCAGCACAAAAACCTGAACAAAGAATCGCAGACCCACAGGAGAGGCTTATGCCCGGCAGTGGGCAGTGGCAGCCAGCAGCGGTGGAATATTTTATTTATAGTTCGTTCTGATTATTAGATTATATCCAATAGAGAAGACGTCTGCGACGGGGATTTTAATAAGAAACTGGTGACGTTGATGATATTTAAGTGTGATTCACGTAAATTGATAAAAGAAAATATAGAAATTCAAAAAGTAAAGTTATTTGAGATTACACACGATTCAACTTTTATAGAAAAAAAGCTTTTCCTTTATTCCTATTATTCCAAAGTATAGGATAGCTCACAGAAAAACGTGATAAGGTTTAATAACATAATAAGTACAGTCAACAGCATTAAAGATTACACAAAAGTTCCTGCAATAGATTTCAAGCCATAATATGCTGAAGTTGACTTCAAAATAGATATTCTGCTATGTCTGCCTAAGTCCATTAAAATTGAACTCAAAGGAGTGATCAAATCGATGGGCACATATATGTCATCAACATCAGCCCTTTTACGTCCCCACTGCAGGGACTTAGGCCTTCCTTATGAATGATTAAGGAGGATGACCCATGACGTATTAAGGACTACAGAAGCAGTCGGGACCAACGGCTTAACGAGCCTTCCGAAGCAGGCGGGCAATTCTACTAAATAAATTTTGTTTAAATCGAATCGAAAATGGATCGAAACTAAAATAGAAGTGGAATTGTATCGTATGTCATTTTGTAGAATAGGAAAACCATTAAAAACTGTAGTTTCGTTCGGTTTCGATCCGTTTTCGATTCGATTTAAACAAAATTTATTTAGTAGAATTGGCCCCCAGGGGGTAGCTCGAGAACTTTTATGAACAGTTTTTCAAATAAGTAATCAACTATCATCGTAATAAAAAAAGCGTTTCACAAACGAGATCGTAATATTGATTTACGATTCTGTAGACCATAGTACGTCGTAGTAACAACAGAATAAATCAACAAACTTTAACAAAAAGAAGTAAGGAAGAAAGTTATGTGTTTTCCAATATTTTCATTCGATGCTACTCTAAATGTATAGAAAAAAGTATTTGTAACCTTTTTAATTTGTATAAAAGGATTTCTGTCATGTGGCAGTTTTTGAATGATAATACGTAATATTGTATGTTTGCTGTTAAAAAATAAATAATCAATGTTTTCGGTTGGTGTAGGAATATTAATCATAACATAAACTGCTATTTATAGATACCATATTTGCCGACTTTCTGTGACTACACTTGTAGCCTTGTGTAGCCTTTTTTATTACCCTCATAAGATGTAGCTTCCCATAGGTATTTTATTTTTTTATATCGGTCCAGTAGTTTCGGAGCCAATTTGATGCAAACAATGATATTTGCCCTCTTTATATTATTAGTAAAGATGATTAGAATCAAAAATATTATAATAATGGCTCCGCTATATGATTCTGCCCATCTAGAAATAATACAGGGCCTACCGCTGAGATGTTGAACTCGCTCTGTTTATTTCTATAATCATCCTATTTATTTTAAATTTAGGCGATAAGTAATTTCTTTATCTTTTTGCTTCTTCTACTAGATTTTCTTTATTATTTTACTCATATTTTATTTGGTTTATTTTTATTATATTTCAATTAAAAGATAAACACACAGATGGATAACAAAGTAATCTTTTTTTCCTTCAGAGGCTAAAAACTATAAAGATTAAGGACAGGTTGGATAGCACGTCTCTTATCAAATATCGCAACCCCTTTCCATTATAATATTATGACGGTCTCCATGGCAGACTGTTTAAATCCTCGGGTTAGTTCCTCATCGAGATTATAAATAAAAATAACTTTTATAATTGGGTGTTCGTTAAATTGTCACTGGTCTTGGTGTTGTGTTACTTTCGGTGTTTCAGATTTCAAAAATACGAGTGCAGGTACAATTTTTTTTTTCTATCATAAATACTTTGTGCACTATCCAGTTACTGAATAATGCAAAAATATCTTAAAACAATGTTTATCCTACAATGACTCGATATTACTGACTGAAGGTTATGACCTTTACACTTATGGATCTAAACGTCAAGATTATAGTATTTTTTACATTTATTCTGGCGTAGCTACGCTTTTAAAATAGTGTTAGTGATAGTTAAATTCAACGTTTAAGAGTCGTAATATCGCTCCTAACTAACTGGTTAGAAACCTCTTATATTTGACGTTGGATCTCTGGCATGGATCATGGATTTCGATTTCTTCCTTTCTAATAAATGCCGGACTATATGAAAATTACAAATTATAATGTTAAATAGGACTAAGTATAACTTTCAAAAATAATGCGGCTACCAAAATTGAACTTAAAATAAAAGAAAGAAGTTGTATAACGAATTAGCTATAATGTTCCATACAACGGTCCCCGACTGCAATTAGGATTAACTTCCTATAGATGGAATAATTTTCAAAATAGACCCAGCATTCTCGGAGCTTCTTCATTGCAAATTTAAAAACACACATAAACAAAAAAGAAACAGTTTTTTTTCTCTATATAATATAAGTAGGAACATAGAGTTTAAAAAAAAAAGAGTCTGGTTTAGCTCTTGAATATCCATTACGAACAAAAAATCAAATCTTTCCTTTTTATAATATTAGTATAGACGGACAAACAATCAAATCTTTCCTCTTTAAATTGGTCATGTTACACAGATACACACTGAGTCGAGTGGAATATAGGTTAGGTATACTCGTGTTGATCAGAGATAAAATCCTTTAGTTAACTGCTTTCATTTTACATTGAATGCACGTATGACCAACTAGACGTGCCGGCATTTTATTACATAGCTGGTTCAAATTACATGCCTTTACAACTATTCTAGTGTAATTTGAATAATTTTAAGTACCTACTGGCTAGTTTAATGACCTCCATGCCTTCATATGCCGGTTACAAGTTACTGATATCTCCGAGAGTCCGGTTTATTGTACTTTTAAATATTATCTCTGGTATGAATGTTTTGGGGGCTTTAAGATCTTCATTCAGGATCTAAATATATGTAACATTGTCTAATGTTAAAAATATATCTTTCATTTTTTATTTATTTTTTTGTTACACATGTCAGAATTACAACAATATGCAAAAATAAGCAGTAAAAAAGTGATAATAAGATGTAGGTTGCAATTCCACAAATATGCGTAAACAGTATGCACAATCAGAGCAACAACATTAAAATCGAAATAGTTATAATTCCTTAAAAAACCACTTTTTCTTTTATATTAATTACTTTTACATTTTATAAAAATAATAACAATAGTAATTATAATTCCACACATCATATATAAAAAATAAAATAAAAATATTATACACATATCTATCATTTCACATTCATTGACAAAACATAAAAAACATAAAAAAAAACAAAAGAATTTTAATTTAGAACGTAACAGCTGAAATTCTTCGTATTCGCTTCGTTACCAAATTTTTTATATCTCTTATGCGCCTTATTTTTTTCACAAATACATGCTTTTAATGGCTCTGATAACCAAAGAGGGCACTCGATTGTCCTATTTGCTTAAGTGGAGCATTAGTCCTTACAATTTCACTCAAAATGTCATAGAAACATTGAGTATCAGAGTCAACATCACTATGGGATAAAATATGTAGAATGTTTAATCAACAATTTTCAGCTGCTCTATACATGTGGATTGCCGCATTAACGAAAATTGGGTACCCTAAATTTATTGGTGTCAAACAATACTCACATCAATTTCTATGGGTGAATGATGACAATCAGATCTACTCAAAAGACAATACTCAGAAACCCCTGTGTCGGTAGTGTCGGTCATAACCTGTGTTCTGTTATTGGCATATGTCACATTATTAAATTGAAAGCGACCCCCAATTCAAGTAAATTTATAAGCGCCATCGATTTGCTATCATACTAATATCAAGGTGTGTTGAGTTAAGATGATTCTTGGGATTTTCTTTATTAAACTTTCTCGTAGCCGATATAATTTCATCTCGAAGCCGTTCAGAAGCGAGAGTAACCAATATATTACGTGGTCTGTCGGATGTCGGGTTTAACTTAGTTAGTCGGTGGTTCGGGTTAGCAAGAACGAACCTCACTGTCCATGATCG